TCCTCAATAGATGGAGATATTGCCCATTCATAAAAACGGCGATCCAAAGTGCTTTACGGGAAATCAAATGAAAGACATTAAAATTGCCAAAACCTTGAAGCTCGCTTGAAACGTCCAACACTTTAAAGAATTGCATGAAAGCATAAACACGTTAAAATGGCCGTTATTATCTCTTCATGTCACATTTCAGTCACGGATTTGGCCCTGGAGGTGGAAATTCAGTGCATAAGCAGTTGTGTGGAGCATCAACAGGCTAAAACTCTTCAGCAAATTCTAAGATTAGTTTTCTTTCTGACAGATGTGTAGATACGGAGACGTACCTCTGTAGGAGGTGCAGGGACATGTAGAGCTGGGGTTCGTTAGTGGCAGATGAGCGCACCAGTTTGCTCTTGGTGTGGGCAGAAACGATGGTTCCATCAGAGAGGGAGAACCGGTAGATTGGACTGAACGCTTGACCGTGGCGGAGAACTGTAGACACAGCAGGCTTCACGTCAGCAAGCACACAATAATTTTTTATTTTATTTTTTGGAATAAGATAAAACACATGTGTTCCTGCTGGTTCCAGTGTTAGAGTAGATTGATGGATCATCCAAGGACTGAAGTTCATGGTTGGCTGCTTTTTGTTGCAATTCATTCAAATATTTAATATTTAAAGCCTTTTGTTTCCCTCCAGAGCCTTGAACTTCTTTCCCCTCTTCGAAACATCTAAAACAAACTTCAAAGTCCTTTATTATGACCTGATATGACAAACAAACATGGAAGCAGTGTACCGTTGAAGTTACAGGTTTAACCATTTCACCGTTTGCCTTTCAGCTTTACTTGTCCAGATACATTTCTGCCCATTCACCTTTAGAATACAGTTCAAGGTCAGTTATACTGGTTGGAAAAGCCTCCATCCGACTATTTACATTGAATTTAATGACTTATTCCTGCAACCAACTGTGAAGATGTGTAAAATAATAACCTTCTTGCTGGTGTCTCTTGGCAAAGGATATCTCCCCGTCGTTCTGCAGGTGGAACCTCTGGATGCAGCGCCGTACTAGATCCTCCCAGCCTGGCTTCATGGACGCTCGCAGTAGACTCGTGTCCAGCGACGTAATCTTACCTAGTCGCAAAGGAGGACGTTACGGTAGCTGCAGGTGTACGGAATTGTAAACTTCTGCCTCGCGACCCAAACTGGCTGCTAAGTTTCAACGAGGATTTCAGGTCGAATAAAAGTCACCGTTTTGCCACCTGGTTTAACAAGTACGTCCAGGATATTTGTGTCGACACAGGCAATCGCTCGCAGCGGTGCGACACTTGTCCCTCAAGTATGTGCCATTTGAAATGGAAGCAGCAGACCGCTTAAGGGCTGACAAACTCTCTCCTGCTTGACTGACAGCTACATGGACCAGCTTGTCACAGTAGCAATAACAGGAGCCATTTACAGCAATACATCACATCTAACAATCACCAAGGCGTCAAAAAAAAAAAGGAACTACAGAGGCAGACTGGCAGCTTACGTGGTGTTTTGCTTAATTCTAAGGGGGGGGTTTCAAACTACGTGTCCTAAACGCCACAAATGAAGGTGATTGTCGCGCTCTGTGTGGCGCTAACGGACAGCTCGGTAAGTAGAGGCTGCCATTCATGCGCACCTACGGAAGCCTGGGCGGGAAACTACAGGAAATTACTATATGTCGCTGACTAACCATGAAGGTGTGTGTTGTTTTTTGTGATGTGGTTGTGGGTGTGCATACCACACAAACGGCATTAGTACATCAGAGGCCAGGAGACGCGCGCACAGCTGCGTGCGTGTATGCAACAGTTTTTCTTTTCACCTCCCACAGTGCAGACAAGAAGGGTGGCTGCAGCCAGCTAGTCCAATCCTAACGGGGGTCTTTTGTATGATGCTTAAATACTTAGCAGCGATGTCTGCCGATTTGTGGAGAGTTTGAAATTTCTTTCAACACAAAGGCAGTCTATTTTTTATTTTATTTTATTTTTCGTTTGTTTTACTCAACCTAAACAAGTATTAAATCGGATGCACATTAAGATCTCCGATCTCCATGCGTCAGTTTGTAGCTGCCGTCCGTCTGATTCCCTGTACCTTGCAGGTCCTGGCGAGTGGTGAAGCTCTCATGCGTGGGAAGCATGGGCCTTTCCTTCGTGGGCACCCTCCGAGCCACGCAGATCAGGCACGACTGGAAGTCTGAGAAAAAAAAAAAAAAAAAAAAAAAAAAAAACGAAGAAGAAGAGAGCGAATAAACGTCAGGAACAAAGGACAAGGTGGAGGATGGAACAAAGAGGACGAGGATAAAACATGAGAGACGAAGAGGGAGTGAGAGGGGAGGACAAGGGGGGCGTAAAGGATAGAGACAGAGGGAGGGAGTGATAATGAAATGCATGTTATTCCCAGGCAGCATAATTAATACAGTTATTAATGAGCGTGGGGATCAGGGCTCCGCTCCTTTAGCGAGGAGCAGCTATTGCTGGCGAGGGAAATGATGTAGTGTGACCTTTCGGAGGAGTCTGAGTGACTTGATAAGTGTTTGCGTCCGCACCTCCGTCTGGTCCCGGCTAAAGCGCCGTCACGCACTCATCGCGCCTCCTCCTGCCCCAACACGGCTCAGTAATGACAGTCTTCTTTGGCGAACGTAAAAATAAAAAATGACTTCGCCAATTCGACTGCTTGGGTGACCCCAAAAAGTCTGCGGTCCAACTTTTTTGTGAGCCAATAATATCCACAATCCCTCATGTTCCTCGCAGAGATGTGTGCCACAGGCTATCACACACACACACGTGTATAGAACCTCATGGGAGGTCTGGCCATCAAAGATCTTAATCGCTATTAATTCCCCCCCCCCCCCCCATTTCCCTTCTTTCTGTTTCCGTCTGTGGCGAATTCCTCTAACTGTAACCGCCGATCGTGCTGTGGTGCTCAAATGCCCCAAATCATTCACACACCTTCAGCCAGCGATGTTCTCATGTTAGCCGGAAAACAGCTGGCAACATTAGCCTTTTATGTCGGGTGGTTCATAGCTCTAGGCTAATGAAAGCGTTTCTGGTTGGAGGTCATGTAAAGAACGCTCGTCTAATGCAGTAGAAACAAAGGGGCCCGATCTAGTAAAGTCAACGTAGACAGAGAAGACGGGGTTTTTTTTTTCCAAAGATGTGTCCTCTGTTGCCGTACACCGATTTCTAGGTGATGGACACAAATCTGTGTCCTTTCAGTTTTCAAAGGTCGGAATTTAAGCAGTCAGAAGAAAATCGAAACTAAATTAGGCATCGAGTTTGAAACCACAATCCAATCCAACGCTGGAGTTTGAATGTGTTCACTGTTCGGTTGTGCTGCTGCATCGTTATTTGCTTTGAGCACATCTGCATCAGGCTTCATAAGTTGTTACGAATTTGCTAAGTATGCATCGTGCTCTGTTACAAATGTAGAAAAAAAAAAAAAGTAGCCATAGCTACTTTTTCTATTTATGGCAACTTCCAAACAAGTAAGAAATATGCAGATATGTCAAAAATGTTACGCTAAATTAATAAAAAAAAAAAAATAAAAAAAACATTTTGTCCAAGGTTGTTTTATAAGGTCACTACTTTAGTGTCAACTGATCCTCCTATCCATCTCTTCCCCACTTCCCTCCCCACTTCCATACCGTCTCCTTCCTCCTTGATGGACTTGGGTTCTGACACTGCAAAACACTGCATGGTCTCATATTTCTGCTGCTGGGGATCGTGCGACTCGTCCTGGTTCTCGCTGTGCGGGTTCACCAGCATTCGGCAGTTGAACGTGTGGCTGTTCCTCCTCGGACCCTCGCTGGACCACGGGACGCCATTGACTGCCGGAGAGAGAGAGAGAGAGGAAGAGAGGTGAGGCAAAGGAGACTTTTATAGTCTGTGAGAGGGTGAGGGTGGTGGTGGGGGGGGACACTTTTCCCTGCGACTGAAAGTGAACGGTGAAACACGAAGTATGCAAAGAGCGAGCCAAGAGGAGGCGAGCGCGCTGCAAGTGGAAGACATAATGAGAGCAACGCAGGGAGAATGAAGGCAGAGGAAGTGCGAAAAAAAGAGGAGAGCTGTTGCTGGGTAGAGATCAGTTTTAATGAGCAGTTGGAACCCTGAGCCATCCATCCACAGCAGTGCATCACAGCCAGGCCTCCATATGCACGTCCTCCCAAAACATCACTGCCCATCTTTCTTCTCCTGTCCAACACTTACACAGGCACGAAATAACTCACTCAGAAACACACAACGCACGCATACACACACGCACGCACGACAAGCAAGATAAAAAAAAAGACATGTATAGGCCAAACTCATTTCTTTCTAGCAAACTCCCATCACACTCCATCTGGTTTGTGATCTCATTCAGTGCATTGATAATCTCCCAGTAACTGGGCCACAGCCCAGTGATCATTTCCAGGGTACTCTGCTCTGCGCAGCTCTCCCACCCAGATGGCTGGGTAACTCAGACCTCAATCCAGAGCACCAGCAGAGGAGGACTCGGAGCTCCTGACGCGATGCGGTGGCGGCAAAGCTCACCTTATGGGAAGTGAAGCCGTACAGGTTAATTTGAGGGAACGAGATGATGGAGGGGAGGGAATTCCTGAGCTAAGCTGAGGATTGCACAAACAGTTGTAATGTTTACATTAAATAAGCACAAAGCATAACTTCAATGGGTGGGCTAGAAAGTATGGGAAATTGAGAACAAGAAAAGAGGATCTCGATAGGGGTGTGCAGCAGAGAACGAGAGAAAAACATAAAAAAAAAAGTGAAGAGAAGGGGAAGGAAGGGCACGAAATGAGAATGTAGGAAGAGCATTATGCTGCTGACAGGAGAGAGAAGCCAAAAAAGGAAGTTAATTAGCTGAAAAGCGAGGGAGGATGAGGAGAAGAGTGAGAGGAAAAAGTCTGGGCTGAGCATCAGCAAAACAGAAAAAGAAGAACCTTTAGGATCTTTGCACACTGCAATTTTTTTTTTTTTAACAAGCCAGCTTTCAGGCACTGAAAAACCACCGTAAACATTTAAATCACAACGACATGGCTAATAAAAAGCACCAGGTGACGCAAGGGAGACGGAGCGGAGGCAGAATTCGTTGGCAGGGAGAATAAGCCGAGGGCTAACCGAGGGATTTAGGCAGCAGGTTCTTGATGAACTCGGCGTGATCGCCGACGTGCAGCACGCTGTACACGCTGGTGTTCATCAGCTCCTCCTGGTTGTAGCGCAGGTACTGGGTCACGTTCTCAGACACGAACACGATGTTGCCCTCCATGTTCACCACGAAGAAGAAGCCGTCGAGGGCCTGGAGGGGCAAAGAGGCGGTTTAGAGTTTGTTTACAAAGTTCCTCCTCACAAAAAAAAAAAAAACACAATTCATGAATAATTAGGATTTTATTTGTGCAGCAATCACCCTCATTAATCAGAATATGTTAATAACCCTGCTGCAAGTGGCCTAAAGGGGGAATATCACCGATTAATATGCTCTCCCTTTTCTCAGACAAGGGAAAGCTGCAACTTTAATTTATTGATGCAAGTAATTGTGTTTTTCTTCAGATCTACCGGGTTTTAATCTCTATCATTTAGTATGGAACGCATTAAAGAACAGCAGATACTATGTAAATATTGTCTGAAGTCTGGGAAGCCGGTATAAATATGTCTCTATTTATTTTCTGCCAAGGAAACGTGTAAAGAAAAATAGTACAATGTAAAATGAAACACATTGAAAAAGTTCTAAAAGTAAAGTTGAAACATGTCAAAAATGAACAAAGTAATTTTTGACCTTTATGGAAAAGTTGCAGTAAAACCATTTTTTTTTTAAATCCAGATTTAAAGAAGCCAACAAATTCTGGGACATTTCAGGTTGGAGCAGAGGAGCAGAGAGACTAAATGATGCTTCCTCTAATTTAATTCTGGTCATAGCTCCTAAAGGGGGGGATCAAAGGGGTCTAGATAGTTAATACTGTAAAAGATAAGCCTATACCTTATAGACCAATATGAAAACAGAATCTATCATTTTACAGACATGCAGCCGTTTAAGTTTATTTTCGTGGTGTGTGCCTGATTGTTTTGTTTTTTTATCCATAAAGACACAAATACATTAAGTGACCCGAGAAAGCAGCCTTGAGACAGTCCAAATATAATATTTCTCATTCATATTTAAAAACACACAAAAGATTATAGATCAAGCTTCTATTTAAAAGCTCTCCACACCAAACTAATGCAAGAAAAGGAGCTAATAATGACACAAAGGCCGTTTAAGACCAAACCGCTTGATTAGAAATTAGCCCTGCCAAGACGTTTGCGTCTGTGGTGAAATGGCAGGAGAGTGGTGTACGGCAAAGACAAAACCTCATATAGTGAAGCAACTGTAGCGAGCATCATTCCGCCTGCCACCAAAATGTTGAAACAAGATGAGTGACTTACTATTCTAATTTAAGCTAATTTAATTTGCACTTGCAATTTTGCTTTGTTTTATCATGCCTTTTAATTTGCATGAAGGACCAATTGAAACTTTTATCCAATTTGTCCTAAATACACGGCTAGTTATTGTCTGACATTTAGCCCTTAGAGGAGCAAAATGTGGCAGAAAGCTTTTAAGCCGTTTAGCAAAATTAACTAAAGAGGCTCCTTCCTAATATGGGAGATTTCTTTATTTTTATTAAGAAAAACCAGAAAGCAACATTTGAACTATCTGCCATTTTCCGTTGTACCGTACCCGTAACGGCCCATGACCTAAAAGTGGAGTACACGCTGAACCCTCTTATGTTTAAACTCTGTTATTTGTATGTTATTACACTATGCTTACAGAAAAACCACTGGTACATACAATTAGTACCAGCTAAAAAGAAAAAAAAAAACAAGCTGAACATCAGTGAAGCTGATAAAAGTAGAATAAACCCATGTGGCTGATTAAAGTATAAGAAGGAGGAGCAGCACTTAATTGAAAGAACACAGCCCCAGGTCAGCCATTACACACAAGCTGGTGTCAATTAGGCCATCAAATCACCTACAGCCTTCAGGAACAGAACACTGGCGCTTGTAAAGCCGGTGTCACGATAGAACCGAAGACATCTGCTCTTCATCTGTGCTTAATCGATCGCTACGGTTAAACTGAACAACTGTCAAACTTTTCAGCGCGACATTTATTGTCGTTCCTGAAAACGGCTACAAAACCAACAGCCCCACGGAAAAAATGTTAAGGTTCGCCGAACCCTTTCCATCTGATCCAAGATTACAGCGTGATGGAGGTTCTCCCTCGCCTGCTCTGACACTTCCTAATCTAAAAACAAACTCAAAGCTACCTCATCCATCAGTGCATTAACTGGGCCTGCTCCAAAATGCAACGTGGTTGTGCAAGTCCATCCTGTGTGAGGAAAGAGCATGGACTGGACAGGATAAACATTGCGTCGTGCCAACTCTAATGCTCCTCCAGACACTGTTGCTCAACGCCGTTAGCCAATACTTTTAATTTACAGTGCCCTCCTTAAATATACACTGGAGAGACGGCTGAGCCAATACGAGTCGATGTGTTCCAAACGGCAACTTTGGGAATAATTGTACAATTCCTGCTCCCAGCTCTATTTACTTGTGAACAATAACTGCTGCAATAACTTGCTGCAACGTAACATTAATAGTTTTTGGTAATGACCGAAAAAAAAAAAAATGTTATAGACATCATCAAGAATAAAGAGCAAAAGCCATGTCAAAGTATTTGTAGGAAGTTGAGATTTTTGTCATGTCCGAACCAAATATTTTATGCTTCACTGGGATTTTATGTGAAAGATCAACACAAAAGGAGCAAATAATTTAGAGTTTCTGCAGTTTTCACCAACTCAAATTTAAGACTTTAAGACCTATTTAAGGTCATTATGAATAAAAAAAAGAAGGGGGAAAAACAGTATAGGATAAACAAGATTATATAGTTCAGCCACAACAAAATTTAACACCTGTGATGAAAGTATTTAAAAGTAATATGAAACAAAATAATAATTTGGTGTGCATTTGTACTCAGGACCCCTTGAGTTAATACTTTGCACAACCACCTTTCCCTACAAATACAGCAGAAAATCTTTTGGTATACATTTCATTCCACTGATTTGCAAACCCATGAAAAAAAAATAAAATAAAAATATTAGTATCTTCTAAGAAATCAAAGATTCCTGCAACAGTATGCCTCCCCCATCATGCTTCCCTGCATTGGGTTGGTTTATCCAGAAAGATGAGCATCAGGTTTGAAGAAAAGCAAAAAATGTTGCTCTCATCTGCCCAGAGTGTCTTAATCAACATACAGACCAGACTAAGGATTACAAAATCCACTTCACAACTCCATGTGTTGAATAGTCACATGCAATCCCAGCAAAATGCATTGAAGTTTGTGGTTGTGACACAAAATCGGGAAAAGAAGATACGAGTGCTTTTTAGGGCACCGTATACATAACAGTGACGTGACGTAATGAATCTGTCCACAGAAGGTTAAAAGAGCAGCACAATGTTTCCCCACACTCCTCTCCATCCCTCTGTGTTTGGAGAGCAAAGAGTCTCAGAGGGGCAGGGTGGGGGGAGGAGGAGAGGAGGTGGGGATGTGCGTTTCTGCTGCCGGCCTTTCTCTCCTCTGAACGGCCTGTAATGAGCCCAGGATCGCGGAAGGGATCGCGGCTCGGAGCGGAGCTGGTGTGAATGGCCTATCGCCGTGTTTTGGGGACTGCTGACAGATGGGAAAGCTCGCAGGCTGCGCTGGGCTATATTTAGCCGCGAGTTAGTGTGTCGATTCAGTGACGCTGGACCAGGAGAGCTATAAATATTCCATGACAGGACGGATCTAGAGGCGAAAGAAGAGGGAAGAAGTGGGAGAGCTGGGGGGGGCGGAGCGCGGGAGATCTGAGCGAGGCGGGGAGGGCGGAAATGGGTGAGAGGACGGACTCAATGGACTGATTCATTCGATGAGCTGTTGCTTTCTTTCCCATTATACGTAAGCACTTCTGAGGCTCTCCGTTGTACAACCGGGCCATTGCTCAGCTTGGTGATTTACAGCCAATCAGGGGCGGATACAAGATGCTGGCAGCTTTAGCCTCACACAGCTACACTCTGACATAATCACTACTGGCACAGCTGCGATTGTTCTCCGTGAATGGTGCTCTTCGGTAGACATCAATCATAATTTCAAGAGGTGGGTTGACCTGTGGTGGAGTATTTCACTTAGTGTGACACTATTAAGTGGAGTGTATGATGAAACCTGAGTGCAATTTGATCTCGGTGTGAATACAGATGTTCTGTGGAGACGTGATCATCAGGGTTAAAGTCCTGGAGAAGTTTTAAGGAGGGTTTAGGTCGGACGCATCATCTTTACGTTGAAAGAGTAAAACAAGGCAACGCCGTTCACAAACTGACAGGTTGGGCAAGGAGAGCTTTATGTATTTATTTATTTATTTTTTTGAAGCTGCCAAGAAGACTGTGGTAATTGTGGAGGAGTTGCAGGTGGGAGAATCTGATCACAGGACAACTATTTGTCAATCTCTCCATAAATCTGACAATAACGGAATGATGGCGAGAAGAACATCACTTTTTGTCGTTTGAGGCACAACAGACGTGTGGAAGGAGACGGTCTAGTAACAGGAAATCAAGACTGAACTTCTTAACCTACGGATGCAGCTAAACTCAGGACAACCCTGTAGGAAAAGCTTTTAGGGGCTGCAAAAGACTTAATGCTGGCTTGGAAGTATTCCTTCTTGTGGGACAGTAACTCTAAACATGCAACATGAATTACAATGGAATGACTTGGATTACTGATCCTCAGAACCCCCCATCTTGCATGTTGTAGGGGTTTTCCTGCTGTGCCTCAAGCCTGACTTAAATGTGTGATTAACAGGCTTCTGCAGCATATTATAGCTTACTGTGGAGGCTATACAGTCATTTGAGAAATACCTAAACCATAAAGAACAGTGGATTTCTGAGGAATAGGCTTGAAAAACACTGGTTTATTTTAGAGATTATTACTGTGTTTAAATAGCCTAGTTAATAATCGATTGTAAGACTAGAAAAGTACAATCTAAGTTATTGCGCAAAGAATAAAGTCCACATTTTAATCTCTTAATGTGTGAGAGACATGCACCAAAAGTTTATATGTAATGAATATTAAAAAAATAATCTCAATAAAAACACTGGGAAGTTTAAAAGGTAATGTGACAAAAATATTAAAAGGAAATGGCAAGGCATTGCAAATGACATCATGATGAATGAAAAATACAAACGCAATCCACCCACCTCCAGCATCATTGGTCCCAAGGCGTCTTTGTCAATCACACTTTGGCCTGTTGATGAGACATCAGCCTTCTGCACCTCCTCCTCGTTTGCTGCTGCAGCCTTTTCTGTGATCAGATAAATCAATAAGACAAACTTAAAAGCCACATACAGGGATCCAAAGCAACAAGTTCATAATGCAGAGGGAGGGAAAAAAAACAACAAAAAAACCCCAAAAACACAACACCACCACAAAGACAAAACTTAGAGGTCACCGAGAAGAAGCACGAGCAAACGATTCTGCATTTCCCCCTGCAGTCGACCCACATACTTTAAAGAGGTCACTGGCTGACAGGGATTTTAACAAGTATCCATCTGGTAACAAAGCAAACACATTCGGTCCCTTTGTGAAAACATGCGGCCGGCCGTGGCTCCAGCCCAAGCGCACCGTGGCAAACGGAGTGAAACGTTTCTGCAAACGAGCGTGTCAGAGCGCACGACTGCCACACTGGTGACAGACACACCCGTCATGTGCAAAAAAAAAAGAAAAAAAAGAAAAAAAAAGGGGCTATTATGGAACAGGGAGAATGTGTAAACAAGTCATGTACAAAATAGGAGAACAAATTGTTCCCATGAAGGGCAGAACATTTTTACTTATCCAATACCACAAACAAACTTAATCATGTTATCAATAATAATAATATGAAATTAGATTAAGCTATCTAAAGCTCAAAAGTTAGTTTTTCAAAATACGTCCAACAAATTTAGGAAATTCATCAAATGAGAGAAAAAAAAATTATCTTCTTGCAACAGAACAGATTTCAAGATTATACTGTGTTTGCACAATACGTTCAGCAACATATTAATATATTAATATGTTGCTGAACCCTAACCCTAACCCTAACCCTAATTTACCAGTGACTAGGAGAAAACTAATTCAATAGAATTTAGAGATGCATAGAGAAATGGGACGGTGACCAAAACTGGTGGACTTTTAGCGTGGTCGACCGACCGACGCTTTCAACATCACTGGCGGTCTAAAATGAAGTCAGATGAAACACGGGGATGCATGAATCAATTTTAAATAAACTTCCCTATGATATCTGTAGACGTACTCTTTATGAAGGCTGTGATGGAGTGAGCGAGAGCAATACCATAAGTAAATAAATAACGGGAAGGGTGAACAGAGTTGGTTTCCAACCTCTGCCTACCAGATCTGGGAATATTAGGTGGAGCTGAGTTGAGGTAAGGAAGCATATTCTCCAATTTAACGCTTCCTCCCCAAGTTGTGTTCAGGACAAAAAGAGTAATATTGGCCAATATCGACGTTGGTGCTGATACACAGTGTATGCCTGCTAAAAACATACCTATGCTAATTAATGCAACAACAAATAAAAAACAAAACGTATATATTAAAAGAAACACAATATATTGTCGCCAATGCACCAGGTTAATTGACACACTAGTAATGCTTGTATAATTTCTTTTTTCAGTCATACCTTGCGAGTCACAAGCTGAAAATTTCAGGAAACTTTTCTCTAAGGAAACCCTGCTGTTTCAGCAATGCTAGCCAGGCTAATCACTAGTAGGAGATGTTATTATAGCTGGTTAAAAATGTGAACTAAATGGTCAAAAATCCAGGTTTAAAAAAAAAAAAAAAAAAAAAATCACACTTCTAATTGGAGGATTTGTTAACATTTTAAAATGGCACGGATATAGAAACGTATAAAAATTCCAAGACCCAAACCCTTAAAAACCACCAAACATTTCATTTAAATTTGAACAATTAAGAGATTCCTCTCAGCTTTGGTAACTAAAATAAGGAGTTATGTCTTTGCCCATGTGACTGGGTTAACAAACATGCAGAGAGGCCTTATGTTCATAGCGTAGGCTGCCCTACTTTCCAAGCAGACGATGAGAGGCGGAATATGAGTGGGCTGTTCGGGGGGGTGTTGGGGAGGGGTGGATGAGGGGGCACATTTAACGGGCGCACCATGCCAAGGAGAGAGCTGACCATATGGTGACAAAAGATTGTGGTGAGAAGCAAACAGAATCACGCTCTTCCTTTTTATGGGTATGGATGTGTGAAAGTTGACACGAATGCAGGTTTCCCTCTGCGCTGTGGGTTTGTGCAACAGCCCACAGACAAGTATTAATCTTTTCCAGCATTAATGATCCGTGCATCAGCAGGACCTCTCCAGGCCCAGTGGGGTCCTGCAGACCAACACAGCTGCCCTGAGTGCAGACCCATCACTCACTGTCATGGCCGCCTTCCCTGGCTCTCCGTCTCTCTGCAGAAGTGTGGCACTGTGCCACGGATAGCAGGAGCAATTGATCACTTAAAAGGATTGTGTAACGTATTAACAACTACATCATAAACTGGCAAGACAGGGCACCATATACGCTTTACTAGCTCATGAATTTATAGAGCAGTGGTGCTTTTTCTCTCTGCTTTTTTTTATTGTGCAAAGTTGCTCATTAGCAGATAATGCAAAGTCCCGTCATTATTATTAGTTTTATTAGTTTTTCAACTATGGATAAGTGTTGAACTTTTTTTTTCTTCTGTTAATGCCATTGTCATTTGAATTTTGTATCGAATCTGATTGTCTTTCATGAAAAAAAATTGAGAATTAGAAAGGTAAAGCGTCACAAACAAAAGCAAACGATATATTCAAGGGAGAATATCCTTTTCCACACTGCTGTATTTATCCGGTTATGGACTAACAAGGCAGAGAAAAAGTAAGAGAACATAATTTATCTCAGCTTAAACAACAGGGTTTTAATGTACAGCCGAAGGTAGGAGGAGAATTATTATTTAAGACCCCACTCATTCAGTCACAATAAGATTTCCTTCATTTTCATTATTTTTTGGTAGGAGATTGACCTGTCTGAGTTACAACTGATCTGCAACCTAATGTCACAAGATGCTTTAAAATTTTACCTAAGAATATATTTTTTTTCTTACATGAAATCAGGTGAGAAAATTCCTTTCAGTGTTAATCATTACACCGAAGAGGGAACCGGTTCATCTACTAATTACTACTATTACTTTGAGCTCATAACATTGTGGCTGGATGCAACCCCAAACTTCCTCTTTGGTTGACCTTACGCGGCTCGTATCCTCAAACCTCAGAAACTTGTAGCTGAATCTACAGCGTCAAAGCACATAAACATGCAAAAAAGCTCCCTTAAATATATGCCACTACACACACACACACACACAAACTGAATTAATGGATCATTTACTCCATTAGCATAATATCACACTGGATACCTTTGAAACTTCAGACCTTGAATTTGAGTATAGTTATTTAGTAGTTAAAAACAGGCTCACTATGTTCATTTTTTACAGCATCATTAGTGTCGCATTTACTTGCACCCCTGTCAACAGAAAAGCATTTAGCACACAGTCTTCTACCGTTTCCTGGTTTTTGAGAACAAGACTAGAGCGCGATCTACAATTTCATACTAGGTCTTCTAATACCACCGTCTCTTCAGCTCGACTCAAATAGGTGTTATAGGTGTTTAGAAAGCAAACAGTACAAAAAAGCAATAAGAAATTGTGTATAAGACGGTTGTGAAATATAGAAACTTTAAAAAATTCTGTCAATACATTTTTTCTTAAACTTTGAAAGATCATGAGGTCATATCATTGTTATTATTTTTGCTTTACCCCTTAAAGCTGCCTCCACAACAAATCTCTATCTCAACATCTCAGCAGGAAGAGAAAGAGACCCACAGCATCACAGATCCCCTACTGTACTAAACAGTGTGCATGACACGCTTTTCCACATATTCGCCCTTCGTTTCCCACTAGACCCACATGCAGTGTTTGTTGCCTGAAAGCTCAGTCCTCGTCTCGCCTCAAAGCAAACGGTTCTAGCGAAGGTAAGTGTAGAGTCTGGGAAATGGCACATTCAGACCAGCGACGGTGGAACAGGAGATGTTTTCCCCCACAGCGCCTTCGGATAAGCCTTGCTTTAGACTAAGTGACCCCTGACCAGCCCAATCTTGAAGTACTTCTCTAATTATAAGCTTGGAAATTTCTTTTGCTTCCTTTTCCGCCCTCCTTATGATGTGTGTTGGGTGGTAAGATACACTTGGGGCCTTATCCGGCTTATTTTAGAGTTTCTGCAAGCATCTTTAAACTTGAGACTTTTTATTCCAGTGTGGTAGAAATTTTACTTTACTTACAGGTGCGTCTTAAAATAGAATATCATTTAAAAAAATAAAAAGAAGCTGGTGTAATAATACCTTGGTTGTTCAAGTGATTAAACAAATAAATCACACTAACAGATTTCTCAAAATGGTACAAGAAAGCAATGGACAAATGTCAAGAGTTAAAATGACCACTGGGTGTATTTAAGACCTTTAATCTTAAAATTAAGGTTCTTACAAGTCGGACGTTTTAGGATCACGCCAAAACTATCCTATTTTTTTCACAATATGTCGTTTAAGCTCGCCACGTCTGACTATAGATGTATGTAGATTCAAGCAGGTAGCGCTTTTATTGCACCCATTTTCTCACCTTGATAAATATATAACACATCTGCCTTCCATATTTTCTTGCCTTTCCCATGTTGAAGTGTGACTAGAAGAAATGGGCCTGTGCTCTACCACATTAATATCCACAGGAAACAGAAAGACATCCTTATAAAATTATAAAGGCAAGTATGCAACACAAATGATTCAGGTTCTCTTACTTAATAAGAGGGATGCAAAAACATATGGATGGTAATCTCCCTACTAAACTTATGCAGCTGAATTAAGCGGTTGATTTTTAATTTTTTTCTAGAATTTTCACACACAACGATTACACTATTGGACCAAAAAAGAATTTAAAGCTTTTTGCAAACCTTTGTCAAGAAAAAAATAAATAAAAAAAAAGAGAGAGACTTTTGAATTTAACTGCACTTTTCACAGGAAAAGATGCATCACTGACATCTGACACAACCCTTCCATAGAGTGAGAAATGAAGTGCAGTTAAAAGAACCTAAGGCATTCCTTCAAAGCACAACGTTCGGCATCTATAAGCAGCTATAAAAAGATTCCCCTGCCTGACCACCGGCCTGTAGAGGACAGAGAGGAAGAGGATGAGCCAGCCCTTCGTTTGCTTTGCTCCGTGTGAATGAAGCAGGCTTGATGTGGAATAGGATTTTTGTTTTGCTTTAGTCACTTTTACATAGCAGACGTACGAGTCAAATAAAATACAGTGACATTATCAACAGGTTTGATTTGTGCATCTTAAAAAGGCCAAGTTTTTATTTTTTTAAATAAGATATTCTGGCACCCTTCCTCAAAAGCAAAGACCAAGCTAGTCTCTAAATTTACAACAGGAGAACATTTTAGCTTTGCAACAACCTTACTTAATCGTCTAGCAACATGTTTTCTTGCTACGAGCTGTAAATTCAAAATGTTCGATATAGCCCTGAACAAGCTTTCACTTTTATCATTTCATTTTTTTATCATGTTTTTTTTTTTTTTTTTTTTTTTTGGTTTTTTTAGAATGGAGAGGGCAGGCCCAGATTGTCACTGGGACCTTG